GTCCATGCAACTTATGATATGGTTGTCACAAACCAAAACGAGCTTTTAATTTGGTTAGGTATACTATAAATATTGCAATAACAACCACAAATAAAATTTCGAATAACTATATGTAATAGTAATTTCATTATATTCATTGGTTACATCACTTTGCACTCATAAAGAATAGTACAAGATAGCATCTTTCAAAGAAAAGATAAGCAATCTTATACGAATGCGTAACTTATCCGTATTTATAACACCCTAAGCGGTTTTTTACTTACGAGAGAGTCTTGTACCGCGCGTCCCTCTAGTGAAGACATTCCGAACCACTTCACTTTTGTTTACCATGCGAATAGTAAAGTGGATGATAGAAAGTATAGTTAAATTTACTATTATTGTACTTGCACCTACTATATAAAACTAGTTAATTTAGTTACTATTCACCATCTTAATATTTTACCAGAATAATGGTATAAGCTTCATAAATAATAGTAAAATTTTTATGCTGGTTGGCATCACTATGACTATGTGGTTGTTATTACTAATATTATAGTGATAATTACTATAAAAATGATATTCCTGACTATAATTATTTTACTATGCAATTATAGTCGCAAATACTACGCACTTTTCTCTCAGTGTAGCGAATTCGGTTGCTCGCACTGAGTGCACACTAAGGCTTGTTTACACTCAATTCTTATATTTAACTTTGTCTTAAATACGTATTGAAAAAGTATTAACTAAAAAAAAAGATCCGCACGGATGCTTTACAGATCATTGTATTGGCGAAAAAATATTTTAAGAGATATCTGAGACGAGAGTTTAATAGAAGAATTGACTGTAAACGAGCCTTACAGCGTTTTCCACTGGGAAAACTGGTGCAGCACCAGCGCTAGGTTTCTATAAAAACTGTACTAGTGCAATAATAGTGCAGGTTCAGTGGAACACACATATTATATGCACCATGTACACTGTTACGATAACTTCATAACGGCGTGTGCTTATGAACAAAAATTGTGACTTTTGCAAGTAAAGTTTAAAAAATGGAAAACAGATAACGCGTTGTTATTTCAAATAAATAATAAAGTTTTTTCTATTGATATTGAATGTGTGGGAAATAACGATGTTAAGTCAGTAAAAGGTAAAAATATGTCTCTTGTGGAAATATTTTCGTGAGAATATAATGAAATTTGACTAAAGTGAATTTTCTCTCAATTAATCCTATTTTATTAGTATTATCCATTTTTTTATAACTTTACCTATAATAGTAAAAGCACACATATATGTATAGCAAACAGTATGTTTCTTAAAAATTATTTATTTTACAATAATATTTTTCTTAATTTTATTGTTAAAATTTTCAAGATTTTTAAACGTGAAAGTGTTACAACAGAAAAAACTCAGTACAATATCGTTGTTATGAAGTTAATTAGAAAAATGTGAATATCATACCTTAACGTAATATCACACCTTAAACGTAATCACAACCACAATTTCAATTTGTACCGGTCTTCCGCCGTCTTTAAAGACGGTGGAGAAGAAGTTGCACTCGGTGCAAGTTTCTTGCACTAGTTTTGTCAGAAGAACATTAAACACTGAAAATATATGAACTGATTTTCGCAGTGGAACAAGAAAACTGCACTCAGTGTGCACCAGTGTTGCACTAGTTTTTCCCAATGAAAAACTCTATTAGCGTGCACACAGTGGCGCAAGCAACCGAATTCGCTGTAAGGCTTGTTTATAATCAATTTTTACGTTTAACTTTGCCCTAAGTACACGTTCAAAGGATATTTAGTCAAAAACCGATCCATATAAACGTTGTACGGGCCATTTTTCTGGACAAGAAATATTGCAAGAGGTATTTCAGATGATCTTCAAGTGTAAGAATCGGCTGGAAAACCAGGCTTAGTGTGCACTCGGTGCGCACTAGTGCAACCAATCGAACCGGCTATTAGTGTGCGCTCAGTGCGCACTGGTGCGAGCGACCGAATTCGCTATTAGATTTTCGATTGTTGCGGAGAAGGTGCGCGTTTATAAAGCGTCGTCTACAATAGGTGGAGTAAGCTTGGCGTAAGAAGTAAGAGTAGGAGTAAAGAAATGGATCATTTCCATTTCCTACTCCTACTTCAGCTCTGACGCTTACTCGCGGCGAATTAAAGCGTAGTTCGACCAGTGCTACAAATATTTAAAAAAATTATGTCTATTCTTTAGCTTTTACACTGAAAGGTAAAGGTTAGGTTTTCTTACTTCTTCTTACTCCACGCTTACGCCGGTTATTGTAGACGACGCTTAAAACGAGAAAAGAAGAATCGCGTCTCGTCCATCGCCGTTAGTTTCTCCCTTTACAAAAATAACGAGTGAATTATCGCCGGCGCAATTTATCGGAGGCTCAAACCTCGCTAGTCGCACTTCGCTCGCAAAGAATTTATCATAGACAAAGACGAAAAAGTCCTTGCTATCGTCAACGGTCCGATCCCGAGGAGAGCAAAAGTCCACGGAGATAAACGGACCGTAAATATGCGAGTAACAATAAAAAAAGAAGGAAAGAGAAAAGAAAAACGTATACCTGAGAGCCAACAATGAGGATGGGCGAGCGTTCGTCACGCGTTCGTGGAAACTGGCCGGCGGGCAGCTCGGGCGGGACAGGACGATGGGGACAAAAAACAATCTCCCGATGTTAAAGCCGTTTACGTGCGTAGGAAAGCGGAATCCTCCGGTGTGTAATCCGAGTGGATAATGGACACGAGCGGAGAGATAAAGGCGGGAGGAGAGACCGAAAGAGGCGCGTTTCGCTTCTCCATTTCTCTCTCTCTCTCTCTCTCTCTCTCCCCCTCTCTCTCTCTCCGTCGAATCTCGCTTAGGGCCGGCGAGCGGAGGCGGCGAGAGCGCGCGGCTCTCCGCAGCGCGGAGCGGAACGCGGGAGAGGGCGAAATCAGTGCAAATGGAAGCGGGGCCGATTCGCGGGTCGAGCGGTCGCCGCCGGTTAGGCAACGGGTCCTGCGTGGCGTACGTATGTACGTGCGCGTACGGCGGCCCGTCCGAGCGGAGTGGTTGGTGGTTGCGCGCCGCGCGGCGCGCGGCGGGCCGAGGCGCGCCGGGCACGGCCGAGCGCGGCCGAGCGCCCCCGAGGCGGCGAACCCTCTGTCCTCGCGGCGCAGCGTCGCCCCACCACATCCAGTCGTACCGCGAACGCCACACCGTGCGCTTCGTACCGCGCGCCGCCCCGTCCTTCTCTCCCTCGTAACGGCCGACGCGCTGCGAGAGGTGCGAGAACGCGAACGACGATTTCGCTCTGCTATCGCGCGGCATTTCTCTCTTTCTCTCTCTCTCCTTTTCTCATATCTCTCTCTCTCTCTCTCTCTTCTTTTTTCTGTCTTTCCGTCGAGATTCCGAATCTCGTTCCGGACGATCGCCGTGAAGTTTGCCGCCGTCGGTGGACGGCGCGTTCTCGCCCGCTCGACCGCCCGCGTTTCCGCGCCGGCGAGGGAAACAGGAAGACGGCGAGGGAGGAGACGGCGATCGGCGCCGTGGGAAGGGCATCTCGTCGTCCGATGAAGAGTGAAAAGTGCGCGGGCCCGCGGCCGTGACGCGCGGAGGTACGCGGCCGGCAGTTTCGCACCGAGCGGGAACGCGCGCGCGCGCGCGCGCCCGCCCGTCCGTCCGTCCGCGCGCGTCGTACCGATCCCTCGTGCCGATAATCGCGGGATCGAAGTGAGTGGTGAGCGCGCGCCGCGATTAATCGAGAAAAACGGTCGAGCGGCGAGGATGCACTCCAGATGGACGATGACGCCGCGACGTCTGTAACGGTCGTCGTATCCGCTGTTTATCATCCGTCCCTCCGCACGGCCACGCGCGACGGTGTATCGACGTGCGTCGCGCGGGTTATGACGCGCCGCGCCGCTTAGGGACGCTCGTCAAGCGCTCGTAACCGGAGCCAAGCCGGGTGGTAGCCCCGCGAGTGTCGTGCGTGCCGTGCCGTGCCGTGTCGTGCCGTGCCGTGCCGTGCCGTGCCGTGCCGTGCCGTACCGTGCCGTGCCGTGCCGTGCGTGCGTGCGCGACAACACGACAGCGACAGCGATGAAGACGGAGCCGGCGGCCGAGTCGTGGCCGCCGGGCCGCCCGGGGCCGGGCAAGGGATCGTCGCCGTCCTGTCTGGAGGCGTCGATGCCGCGGAAGTTCCGCGACGAGGCCCTGCGCGCGGGCACCGTCGGCCTCAACTGGGTGCTGTGCGCCCTGTGCCTGGCGAGCTTCTCCCTCTCCGGCGTGCTGTTCTACCGCGAGCTCGGCCTCGAGTCCAGGATCGCGAGTCTGGAGGCGCGCTGCCAGGATCCGCGCGTCCGCGACCCCATCGCCGCCGCCGCCGCCGCCGCCGCCACGCCGATGGACGTCCAGCCGCTGCTGCAGAGGGTCAAGGCGGAGATACAGGAGCAGCTGCGGCAGATGCAACGGCTCGACGACTCCGGCGCGGTCTTCAGGCCTAAGCGCGACATCTCCGAGTGCAACTGTCCCCCAGGTAAGTCCACTCTGCGGGGGTCAATCGCGGCCTCGCTTTTACGGTATTGTCGGTCCGGCGCGACAAATCCTCGCCTCGCCAGGCGATGTATCAAGCCTGCAGTGTGCCGCGGTCTGCGCCTAGAAACATTTTATTCTAATGAAGAACGCCATCTAAGCACATGTCCTGATGTAGTTGCTAGAATTTTGTCTTGGATACACGTTCAAAAAGTATCGAGACAGAAAATGATCCGCACGGATGCTGTACAGATGACTTGACTGACTACGAAATATTTCAAGAGATTTTTAAGACGGTCCTTAAATATAAGAATTGACTGTAAACAAGCCTTGGTGTGCACGTTCGGCTAGAGAGAAGACTTTTAGACTGTATCTCGCAGGGTGACCGTTCGGGTATCGGATTTCTAGATACACGTTATTTGATCCCGACAGTATCTCGCTCGATTATAAATTCTTGTCCTGATTTTATTCATCACAGTTTTGTTGCCGCTACTTTGTCGATGGTCGAAAGTCCCGAATTATTGCTGTCGCTTGTCCGAGATGCCGATTGGCTGTCTCGCTCGTGCGACACGACATGCCTCTCAGTCGTGTTATTTGCAGCTGCCAAACCACGCGAGTTTTTCGAGAGAGCAAATGGCGCGCGCGCGCGCCTTGTGCTGTCCAGTACGTTTAAAAAATAGATTAGGCTTGAGCGACACTGTTACAGCAGTGTTAAATTTGACGGGTAGCCGCCACTGCTGCTCAGTACGTTATTCTCAACTATATCATGTGTAGCAAAATTTATTTGTTGTAACAAATTCCGGTTAAAAAAACAACTGCATCTTTATTTAGCCCGTTTTATGGCTTCTTTTAATCTCGTTGTTTTGTTTAATTAACGACATATCGTGGAGCACAGGCGGCTCTACTCATCGAGTATTAATTGAACGTTGTGCAATGTGCTCTACGTCTGGAAACATTTTGTTTTGCAGCAAACAAGGCTTTTTGAAACGCACATCGATTCGCTTACACGAAATTAGAATGTTTCCAGTCGCGAAGAGCAAGTTGAGGCTCCTGAGATCTCCGTAGATCGTTTCTTTTAAAAACAATTTAAAATACGTGCCCCTTTCTAATTGCGCCCCGCAGCAAGTACACGCGTTACATGTTATGCGAACGTACAAGTTGAAAACAATAGGCCCCACTTTTCAATGAAAATAATTAACGCTGCTCGGAATTTCGCGCATTATTCGCGCGAAAATAATTAGAACACGTGTGGACGGTAATTAATTTCAACACGCGTACTCGTTAAGAAAATGTCGAATTAAACCAGCTGTTTCTTCGCGGGAATAATTACTCGGCGCAGGGATCCGAGATATCGCCCTGCGAATTTCGCAACTTCGCCGTTGCGATTATCCGCGGGAACGCCCGATACTTTTACGCGGATTGACCTGTCAGTGGAGCGTCGATCGGGGAACGTTCTCGCGCGCTACGTACGGGTAATTTACAGCGACACTAATTGCGGAAGTAATCGGCGAGACGCGGAGTCCGTCGGCCCCGTTTCCGGCGACTCCGATACCGACGTCGGGAAGAACGCCTGCGGTTTTCGACGTATTACAGATACTAAAGCCGCAGTGTGCTCCTTGCGGCTGGAAACATTCTTCGCGGGTAGAAACTTTTTCTTAAAATTTACCCTGAAAATGTAACGGTCGGACAACATGGCATTTCGAAGAATTTTCCGAGTTGTTTGAAATTTTACCATACATTTTACTATACGGAGAGAAATTTCTCTGAAAATTTACCCTGAAAATGTAATCGTCGGACAACATGGCATTTTGAAGAATTTTGTGAGTTTTTTAAAAATTTACCATACATTTTACTACACGGAGAGAAACTATGAAAATTTACGCTGAAAATCATGTGATCGTGGGACATGACATTTTGAACAACTTTATGAGTTTTTTTTTTAAATTGACCTTATATTTTACTACACGGAGAGAAAATACTCTTAAAATTTACTGAAAATGTAATCGTCAGACAACATGGCATTTCCAAGAATTTTGTGGGATTTTTTTGAAATTTTACCATACATTTTACTACACGGAGAGAAATTTCTCTTCAAATTTACCCTGAAAATGTAACCGTCGGACAACATGGCATTTCGAAGAATTTTGTGAGAGGTTTTTGAAATTTTACCATACATTTTACTACACGGAGAGAAATTTCTCTTAACATTTACCCTGAAAATCATATCATCCTGGGACAACGTGGCATTTTGAACAACTTCGAGAGTTTTTCTAATTTTACCACACATTTTATTAATGATTATACATTTTACTAATAAAATGTGTGATAAATTTTCAAGAAACTCTCATCAAATTCTGCGAAATGCCATGTCGTTCCACGATTACATGATTTTCAGGATAAGTTTTAAGAGAAACTTCTCTCCGTGTATTTTGTCTACCGGCCAACTGACGTGCTGAGAAATTTTGGCAACAATGTACAATGTACAATTGACCAACTAGTGCAAATCTCGTAAATGCATTGTTATTGGCTGCGAAATAGAATGTTTCCAGACGCAAAGGGCCCGGATCGGGCTTGAAGGTTTCCTCGAGAAGAAAGCGAGGAATTTCCACATTGTAAATCGGTTTTCTCGCAAACGCCCTTCCCGAAAAAGGGGGGGGGTGGTAAGTTTTCGGCTCGAAGGGAGCGAGGGGAGGCGCAATCGGGACTCGCGAATATTATTACGTTTCTCCTCCAGTCGCGCGACAGCACTATCCAATTTCTTCATTATGCAGAGACAACAAACGCGGACCGTTCCACGGTCAGTGAATTAAGATTCGCGAGGCTGCGCGCTTATCTCTTTGATTGCAGCGAGGAAGAGGTTTTAAAGAGCCCGGAAATTACATATTGCGTATTCGGAATCAGGTTGGCGCAAGCGGGCCGGCGGTACTTTGTTATCAAATTGCGCCGCGAACGTTGAAATTAGCTGACTGTAGGGTTACAAAAAAAAAAACGCACTCCGACCTCTTGATATCGTATATCGTGCATTTACATTTTTATTACGACGGTGGAGACTCGTAATTCCATTTCGCCCGCTCGACGTCGCGTCTGATATCGTTTCGCGCAAAGCGCCCGTTGCGTTTTCGCCGCCGCTTTTCCGCCGCGTCTTCTGTTTGAAACTCCATTCTAACCAGGCGATTCTCTCCGCAAACTCTCCGCTTTACGCTTCGCGGCTTGCCCCCTACCCTCTACCTCCCCGCCCTCTTATTCATGACGGAACAAAGTGGCGAAAGGGCAAAACGCGAGAGCCTCCGACATCAGAGGAGGCCGCGAGCGGAGTCACCTCGCGACCCACCGAAACGTGCGGATGTGATAAAAATGAAAGAGAAAACTCGCCGCGAAGAGAGAGGCGCATTAGCGACTTCTCTTTGCCGAGTCTCGTGCGACGACTTCGGGATTAAAGCGGTCGTGTTGAGGCGCTTTGAAAAGAGTCGCGACGATAAGGAAGAAGGCATTTTTCTCCCCCGCGCTCTTATCTCGCGCTCGTCCGCGCGCACCAAAGATCGTCGTCGATCGACGTCAATCTGGCTAACGAACACAACCGCAGAACGGGAGGGAGGGAGAGAGAGAGAGAGAGAGAGAGAGAGAGAGAGAGAGAGAGAGAGAGAGAGAGAGAGAGAGAGGAGAGAGAAAAAGAGAGAGAGGAGAATCGTTCGCGTGTTGACTCGGTGAAATCGAGGTGGCTTTGTGACGCGGTGTCTTCTTCCTGTCATCAGGACGGACGATTGCCAATTGCTTCATTGCGGCTTTCATCGAGTCTCCGAGGCTCAATGGCTGTTATGGTAATCGCCGCGTCGCGATAACTTCATGTACGCGTCGCCGGTTAAACGCGAGGGATCGCCGGGAAGGCGAAAAAAAAGCACATCGCGAGTATAGATCTATGCATAAAATTATTAGAGCCCCCTAATCATCGCACTGCAAGTCTAAGCGTGTTCTACTTTTACACACACACACACACACACACACACACACACACACACGCGCGCGCGCGCGCGCATGTACTTTGGAGAACTTTTTGCACACTTCTTTCCGTTTAAAAAATGACGGCAACTGACACGATAGACGTCATTTTCACATTTCTTGCCGGTTGAAAATAATCTTATTCAACCATAGATAAAATTATCAGATCCTCCTTCGCTGTAAGCAAATTACATGTAAAGTTGCAAATATTAGAGTTGGTAATATTGGGACCATCTATCGAAGGTGTATATTTACGCACGGCAATAAATTTACACCTTGTACGTAAAATTATTACCTTACGTAATAAGTAACTTGCTTGCTTTTATTTGTGTAAATTTTGCAATTTTTTGTAATTTTTCACCAAGTATAAAAAGGTATTTACACAAAGAGTAAACGAAACTTTTGTAAAAGTACATAAATTTATATACTTGCGTTATCAACAGTGTAATTGCTACACTTATTACGTGTGTAATTTTACATACTTGTTTTACAGTGTAATCGTTGCACTGCAAATCTAAGCGTGTTACTTTTAGGCGGAAGGAAGCGTGTCGAACGTGTCTCGCCAAATCACACACATATGTATACACAGTAAAAATAAAATGTTAATGTTAACATTTTTTACATGTCCGAAAAAGTCCACTCCAAATTTTAAGGTGAAATAACATTTATCGCGCGCGTAACTTTTTGACAAATTATAAATGTTAATTACTCAACACTATACTTCACATTTATGTTGATGTTCTTTCAATCTTGAGTGTGATGTGATGAAAACAGACCGGATATGTAAACTGTACGAATAGTCACAAATCAGAATAGTTGAAATAATTTTTAAGGAATGTCGATATTATACATGTCTCGGTTGATTTTGCGAAATAGTTGTGTTAAAAGAACTGAAAATAATGTTCAATTTTTAAATAACACACATAAAGTGTCAAGTTATTACGCTAACATAAATATAACACATAAAAGTGTTAGGAAAACGATAACGTGTACGTTTTATGTTAATTT